TTCATCGTGTTTTCCTATCACGGCGGCGGTGACGACGACGTCATTATCGCAAGATTTCCTGCGAGATTTCAAAACCACCGGCGCAGCCTCCGTCATTTCTCGTTTCGATATTATTCAAATTGCAGTCACGGTTGTATTGTATATAATAGGTATTGATATTATACATTTTACATAAAACGAACGTAACACAAAATTAATGAACTTCAATATTACATCATATACATTTTTACTACGAGGAAATATATTTTATTCTACAAGTACTTAATAGCATCCGCAAGGTAAAAAAGAATTGATACTAGGAATAGGTTGTAGGCCACCGTTTTATGTGAGAAGTTGGCATGGTAGGATACATGAGGTTATTTAATTTATGTCTGTAAGTAACGATAGACCGTTGCTTGACGAAGGACGACTGCGAGCGCAGTTCGGTAACACATAATTTGAAGTGCTGTAATTTTTTTTTTTTTGTGATTTTCGTTTGAATTTGATTTAAAAACGCTTATTAAAAAAAAGCCGTCTGATGATTTTAGAAACATTACCGCGTCAGGTATGTACATATTAAGTATTGGACTTAATACGTGGAATTACCAGGTTTCAAGTCTCTACGTGTATTTATAACCGAATTACAGCAAAAAAAAATCTCTCAAAAATAAAAACTCCTTAAAATCTCAAAAAATGGCTAAAAAGTTTTGGCTATAATACCTTAAGAAAATAAATTAAAAAGGAAGAAATAAAAAAGGTATTTTGTGATTTTTCGAGTAAGTCATTTTTTCTGGTAGAAAACGTCGTCCGTGTTTTTATAAAATAAATAAAATCGTGAAATTGTACGTTTTCCCACTTAAGTGCTTTTTTTTAAAAAAATAGCATAGAAAATAAAAAAAAATTACCTCTTTAAAGTTCAAATCTAGACAACTTGCAAGACAGAGTTTTTTTTGTTATTTCTTACGGTTTTTTTCTAATAAATGGGTAAAATCTTAGCAGACACAGAAAGTTTGCAGAAATCACAGTTTAATTATTTTTGATTTTGTTTTTTGTTTGTAATTCAGTTAAAAGTAATCGTGGAGACCTGAAATTTTCACAAAATACTAAAAGTAGCATTCTGTAGATGCAGTAAAAATATCAAAACATTTTTATTTATTTATTATACTCTTTAGAAATTTCCGAAGTTTTCAAGTTTTTATTTTTTTTAATAGAATTGTTAAGCAGAATTATTTATTATTTCATCCGAAATTCATTATAAATTATACTTGGTAGTCAAATAAAACAAAAAAAAAACTGATACTGGGGACGGCTGTGGTCGCTGTTATAGTCGGGTAACTAGGAAAGTAGGATACATAAATGTATTCAATTTATACCTGTAACCATTAACTCTTATAAAAATACTCAATTTTTTTTACCACCAACTATGACCTAAAATAACTTCTTGTCAAATTTTCAAGTAGTATCAACATATATTTCAATGTTTTTTTTTTATGTAAATCTCGGGTTGAAATAAGTCTATGAGTTTTTCCTGTCGTAAAAAGTGACCAATAGATCCCAAATGTCTCCGGGGATATGAAAACACCTGTAATAAATCCGACGGCCTTCGGGGCGGATGAGCAGCGTAGAGTCGGGCAATCTCTTGTAAACAAGGCAGGTTGAAACTGCCTTAGACATTTGAGAGAATCGTATAAATTGATAAACGGCTTGAGGACACAGAAGGTCGGCGGGATCCCGTTTCATGAACGATCCGATCGGCTTTCCCGGATCGGGGTTACTATAAATATGAAACGACGATTGGCCAGACGGACGTGCGCGCGGCCGTGTCGTGGAAAAGAATCGCGGCCTTTGAACGCGGAGATACCTCGTATGCGGACGTCTGTATTTCGGCCGTACAAAACCGCTCCGTTAATAACTATTGTGATACCGCATCGATACCTACCAACTACTGTTTGCACGGTACCGCGCGACGTCGCATTGATCGGGGCACCCGCGGCGATAGTAGCTGCCGACTCGTGTTTACCGATGTAAAGCGTGATGCTTATTTGATTAATCGTATAGCGTGGTAAACGGTCGCGCAACACAATTATCAAATTTAATGTTTATTTTTTATTGATTGATCATCACATTGGGCACGCGATGTTTAACCGATGCGATAACAGCAATCCGATCCCGTCTCGTTCGCTGACGAGATCGGCGGGACTGGCGCGCGCGTGGTCAAAATAACGCGACTGATCAACACAGTGGGCGCACAATAATGCGCGTTAATCCGAACCGAGCGACGGAAACGTGTCTAACATCTACTGCGCGCCCTGCGAAAATCTAATCGGACACGTGCAAATTGCGTCGTGCCGCGGTACATAGTTCGACAGGGATCGCGCACCGCCGTGCCAATTAAATTTCCGCACACCATAAAACCGGTGAACGTTTAATATTATCCATTGTCCGTTGTTTTTTTTATTTCGTTTTAGTTTGGATTCATGGACCGTTTCGATGAGTCCGATGGGCGTCTTAACGAAAATAGTGAATATCGGATTTCGCGGGGCCGTTCTTAATAAACACAATATATAGTTCCGCCGACGGGAACGTACGTTGATTTAAATTCAATTTTTTTCGCCCGCATTTTACACTTTATGCGTGGAGTACGTTCATACATCGATATTGGGTACTAAACGGTTCTATTAGACATCACCGGGGAGGTGTGTTTTTAAAGGAAATTAACACAAGCGCTCGGTTCGACTCTGTGGATTTTACAGTGGCTGTACAACGTAACGGCTTATCTACATCGTAGGCAGGAGAACGAAAAGTCTCCTTAATGCCCGGCATTAATTACACAGGTACAATAATCAAAAATTATTTTCGGATTTTGACGCTGGCTCGTTGCGGGTAACGGTATGTTTGGTCGACCGTGTAGATATTTTAACGTGTCCTCGCCGTCCGTGAATTCACAGCAACACAAGACACTCGTCGTTTTCATTATGTTTCGCTAGGAAACAGAACCATTAGCATTTAAATACTTAAGCATTGCACAAAACACAAGCAATTTTATAATTATATGAACAAACGAAAAGACGAAATTCTTCGTTGTTTATTTTTTACGGGAACCACATATTTGTGACGGACATATACTTAGGACGATCGAACGAAATTGCTTTATTTTTATCCCATCGTGAATCGTACGGCGGTACGTTCTTGTGTTTTATTATCTGTAAAAATCGCATTTCATTTTCAAATATGTATAAAAATTCTAATCTTAGGACTCTGCAGGATTCCGTCACGGTCGTTATTTGTACAAAATTTATTTTCTTCGAATAATCTGGATGTCGACTTGTTCTCTTTAAAGCGAGTTACAGTAGACATCGGTTATGATGTACCCAATATTTTCAGACTTGGAGTATATGGATTTTTTTGCATACGGAGATCTATGTGAAATAATATAGATGTATCATGTTGGGTAGGTAAAGAATATTGAGTGTACAAAATAAGGCACCTATAAACTTGGTAATAAAACATACCTAAAACGTATTTTTGGTCTGTTCGACGATAATATAACGATTTATAAAATATACTAAGTCTATCGTTCTTGATATTATTTTCCAATACAAATTTACGGAGATATTTTGCCGTTGTTCTCGCTCTCCTTTTCTGTTTATCTTATGTAAAAAATCCCGTGCACGACTAGTTTACGTGCTACGCAATCTGGAATCACTCTAACGACTTTGATAAGATTATTCTCATGTGATGTGTGTGATCAAACTTAAAAGATAGGATAGTCTCTATCCCGATTAATGACCTAGGCGGTAATGAAATGAAGGACAGTAGGTTCTTACATAATTTTGGTACGCATATTAAATTATGTTTGTTGAGTTACTTTAGTTACACGGATGAAATGAAAAATAATTTAAAACAAAAAATAAATACTAAACAGAAATAAAAATGTCATAACAACAATAAAAATATATAATACAAAGTTTATTTGACAATTTCTGGTTTATTATTGGCTTGAAGTTGTATAAACTAACTTGATACTACGGGTGAAAAAAAAATAAAAATCTATGCACTGTACAGAGTAGGTAATTTAAAAGTGAAAACACGTAAAACACACAGTGTAAAACGTATTTTTTGATTCTTTGTAATTTTTGGTGCAGTAACAACATTACAGTACTATAGTATTATTATGTCCTCATAATTCTAGCGTTATTATAGTAGATATATATAATTTAATCCCTGTTCTGTGCGGGTATCTATGGCAACACGGGTAAAAAAAATAAATGTGACACACTAGAACACTTTTACTTTGCTTCTGACCCACTTTCCAACTATTTTATTTTCGTTCAATGATACGGACAAAGCAAAAAGTAATAAAGGTGAAAATAATGTAAAATTGTCATGAGCAATGCCAAGCGTGGGACAAGCTATTTTAATATGTTTGTATGATAATATTAGTAAAATAAATCGTATCTTTTCCGAGATATATTATTATTATACAATTATGTATTGATAAGAACGAAAACAAGAATAACAGGCCGTCTACTAAAAAAATAAAATTACAAAAAATATTTTCTGGAGAACGCCATAAACCCCCGGCCTCCCTCTCTGTCGCTGTTTGACATTTACCGCGGTTCCATTCGTAACCGACTTCCAATTAAACAAGGAAAACCGCTCACGTTCGGATGTCGCTAAACGAAAAATTTGACTATGTTTTACCGTTGTAGTCAAAACGTACGCAATTAATACGCGCGTTGGTACAAAATTTATGAACGGCTGTGTCTGATGGTTTTTTTTTTTTTGTCGTGTAGTTGAGACAAATATTGTTATTGGACAGATAACTTATGAATTTCGACCAGGTTTTATTCATGCTATATTGAAGTTAATATTCAAACCCATTTTACTGGATAACTATCCAACGCCCAACACATATCGTATTGTATTGAGACATCATTATTGGATCGATGCAACCATTAGAATCATAGACTTTTACGAAAACATTCGGTTATGAAGAACATTAAGTACAGCGACGCGTGTCACCGATCCGCGAAACAGGCGGTGGAATTAATTAGACGTGATGTATTTAATTGGCTGTTTTCGACCAGAGTGTTGTTTTCAGTTGATCTTAATGTATTTTCTGTCTTAATCCATTTGGCACAAGCACGCCTTCGAGTCTTCACTTCTGATAAAATTTCCATTTCCGTGTATTGATAACGATGTAAAAGTTCTTTGGGTAACCGCGATCCACAATGTACAAAACGTATAGTTTTATAATTGCATTAATTTCCGACGAAATTCGTTTAAAAATTGTTAAAACTAAATGTTCGCTATTACGGCGAAATTATGAGAAACGATTCGGTTGCTTTGCATGCACCGGTGTAGCTAATTTGCCCACCCGATGCGCCGTTTCCGGTAACTGCTCTGATAAGTATTATGAGATAACGGGGAATTCCATTGTAATTCATGTGTTGTGCGGTGTTCTCTGACGCTGAAGTTTAGTATTTACTAGTTTTCTTTTTTCCAGGTTGGCAACAAATTGCCAATTTAAATGCCATTCAATAAAGCTTTTTCTTTATATTATGCACAACTCTGATCGACTTTTTGTCCGAGGTTCCGAGCGAACATTTTTTTTTTTCTCATAACGAAAAATACTATACCTACACACTTACGACACGTCATTGCAGAATTACCAAAACGTCGTGGGTACTGGGTGAATGAAAAAGTAATTGGCCGGCAAAAAGAACGAGACGGGAAATAATATTCTCGCGAGTATTTTTTTCTGTACCTTTGAAATTTTTTTTTCGACGAGAAATCTAGGGTATACGTTTACTTAAAAGTCTGTATTTCACGTGCGCATTACATTATACGACGCTACGCGCGCGTCCCAGTGCGAGAACGCGTTTTCTTTGACTGGATCGCATGACAATATTATCTCGAAAACGTGTGCCGAATGCCTCGCAAGATACACAATTCATTCTGTACAAAACGTTTGAAATCTTCAAGCAATTAAAAAACAAATTAGTTTATTGATGACTATAAAATATTATGTAGAATTATGATACCTTTGGTGATTATAATACCATGCACATATATATTTGGGTGGTACTTCGTCATATAAGCGATTTTTTTTTTTTATAACATTTTTTTCAGTCTTACCCCCTAGTTTGGTTCCAATATTTATATATATATACAAATTATGTGTACAAAATTTCATGTCGATAGATTATGTTTAACCCGTGCCCCCTAGACCTTAAAATTCTAAAGCAAGATTTTATTCAAATAACCACGGTTTTTTTTTTTTTCAATGTTTTGTTAATATCTCGTTTCAACTCTTTCATATAAAAATACGTTTATGACGTTATTTATTGTAAATTAAATTTTCTATTACTCTTGTTCAATATAGGTTTTTGATTAACGTAATATTCTTATGTATAATTAGTTATGAAACATACAAGTTTATAGATAACGTAACAATTTCACAAGATTATAAAATATCTAACATCGTTAATATTAATTATATTACATTCTTAATGACTTATTCATTTTGAAAACTGATTTAATTTATTATCTGAAATAAGCACACAGCACACTGTATAATAAAATCACTTGATTAGTTTATCTTTTAATCTTGAAATAATTACATATATATGAGAGAATCAACGCACAGATTTAATCGCTGAACGTCAGAGACTTGAAATTGTCACAGTACATACCTTTTGTACTTCAGGAATTTACTAAAGAATGAATTTTGAAAATTCCTTCTCGAAGTATAGCTGGCATTGAGTTTTTCGAACTTTTCGAACAAAAATTGAATTTTGTTTTTCATTTATAGATTACCTTGGAGACGTTGATGATAATTTGGTTGTCATGGGCAAGAAAACACTATTATTATTATTACCTTTTCTAATACTTCAAATATTATGTATTTTTTAAAAAATATTTATATTCTCTATCCACAAATTAAGCATATAACGAGTTCGTGTGCAATTTTAGAGCGCTCTAAAACTAAACAATCAATTTTAATAAGATTATGCTCATGTGCTCGATTTGATCCTACTCGAAATATAGGATAGTTTGCATCCTTATTAAGCAATCCCTTTATCCTTAAAATACTTTTTTAAGGTATAATAAGTACAAAAATAAAATTATTTTTGTTGATTTATAATACGTTACTTTGGTAAGAAAAAAGAACAAGATAAACCGTTATTATTACAAATAAAAAGGTGGGACATAATTCGCACGTGACTGTTATAGGCGAGAAGTTAGAAAAATACACTACAGACGGAAATTTAATGTACATCTGTAAGCGATGATAAACCATGTCTAATGAAAAAACAATTCTGAGTTGAATTAAGTTGATAATGTTGCTTTGTCAATAATGCAATATATTACGTCATAATATGGCAAAATGACAACAACAATGTGCGTAATAAATAAAAACCTTTGTCACTGACAACTTTATTTTCAATCTTTTAATCATTTTTAACCTAAAGATCGAGGTTTTTCTCATTATCTCGAATACTAACGAGAGTTTCAAAAAAATATTTCTTTAAATACTACTCAGAGGATATTTCTTTTCAGGAAAAGTGGTATACTTGCTAATCGGAGTAAGCGTTCTGGTAGAAAAAGTGTGCAATTAAAAGAAAAAAAAAACATTCCTCGTTCCATTCAGAATCTAAAAAAATGGATACCTAGTTCATGTCTCGACTAAAGATACATAAGAGTGTGTATTATTTAATAATTTCGATTTCGCAGCAACGACCGATTACGTGTGACGGGCAATCGGGTACATTGAGAACGTTCCAGATAGCTATAATAGTGCATGCGTTTTTCTGTTGTCGAGCGTCTCTCCTCCCTAATAGGATATGTATGACTTCATTTTCTTTAAAATATACTAAACCTACAGCCCCCTAAAAAAAAAAAAAAAAATATTCGTTTTTTTGATTTTTTTCGTATGAAACAATGTCAGAACAGAACACTTTTAGCTCTACCTACTTATTTGTTTTTATTCATTATTGATACGGTAAAAACCGAAAAGAAATACGCGTAAAAAAATAATTAAACATTAACATGGCAACGCCAGGTGGGACAGCTAGTCTATTGTACAAAATAACATGTGCTGACTGACTGTTTGGTTTATCATCGCCCAGCACAAATCACTGGACGGATCGAGCTGACATTTGGCATACAAATAGCTATTATGACGTAAGCATCCGCTATGAAAGGATTTTCAAAACTTCAACCGTTAAGAGAATAAAATAGGGGTTTTTAGGCATTTTTTTTTTTACGAATACATTATTTATTTACTTTTGATTAACCTCGGATATTACCTCGGTAATACGGGATAAAATAACAAAAAAATTAGACCCGGAATTTCCTGATGGGTCAGCTAGCAGGGCGGGAGGGTTTTTGGTATCTTTGGAACATTAATTAATCTTCGTGACAAGGGTGAAAATTTGACTGTCACGGACGAGAAAACTATTATTATTATATCTTTTATTTTCACTATTATCTAGCAATAGTATCGGATTAATCAATGAAGTGTTGACATTAAAATACCAATACTATAATCTAATCATGTATACAAATATGAATCGAAATTTTGTTAGCGACGCAATAAAATAATAACGGATAGACAGATTTGGCTGAGTTTTTTTTTTTGTGTTCGGAATTATCGAGACAAGGTTTTTGTACAATGAAAATTTTTGAAAAATTCGTAGGTTTGAATAGTATTTTTCTATGAAAATCTCAATATTTTTTTTTTTTAATTTCATTCGTTTTATCAAAAGAACCCGTAAATAAACAAAAATGATTTGATTATAAATGTTCGGTCTCATACTTCCAGCCTTGTAGGTGAATTAATGTGCATTTAGAGGACAGATTCTGTCAAATATATTGATTGCTCAAGTTGGAGGAAGTGCAAGTGAAAAAGAGTTTCTCAACTATAAATGTATTTTATTTTTCATTGGATCAGATTGGATCAGACGGTACAAGCTAAACGGCGATTGAGCTTTATCCTTATGGAAGACCTAAAACCTCTAGGAAGACCCAGAACAAGAGAAAATTTCAGTTTTGGTTATAAATCATTTTCATCGAAATGTAGGGGACAATAAAGCGAATCTCTTTGTTTTTTTTTTATTTTTGTTTTTGATCGAGTCGATCGTCAATATATTTTCATTTAACTATAGACCTAAAAGCCAGAGAAGAACAAGTGACGTAACGAAAAAAAAACACTTATATATATATATATATACACACATATATCTTTTAGTGCGGTTGTTGGCGAGTTTTCAGACGATAGGAAATAAAAAAAAAAAAAATGTAAAAAAAACACTACTACCGCGAAACAACAACGATAAAAACATAATTCCATTTTTGTCATAATGTACAACGAAGGTGTAACATTTTCTCATAAAATTGCTATTATTTCTGTTTTACGTCTATTGCTGCTGTCGCGACAAAAATAACACTGTTTAAATATCGATTATTATAATTTATTGTTTTCGTGTTCGCCGCAAACGTTTGCACTGCGCACGCACGCATATTTTTGTCAATGGGATTATCTAATCGCCGCGAATATTATATTTGTATACACAATACAATTCTCCGTGAAATTTTGAAAATCTTGTTGCTGTCTTGATACCAAGCACTCGTCCAATCTTACGGTTTCATTTATCGCCACAGCATTGCTTTCCAATCGATCACCGCGTTTTTTGATAAATGCTTGTTATCAGTTCACAACAAGCGTTCCACCCACTCCAGCCGTACGGTATGTAATCAACGTTTTCACATTCGGTTTATTATACAGTTGCTCCGTAACTGTATTATTCGTCCTTTCGTAATCACCTGTAGTGGTCGCGTTTTTATTATTGCTCCATAAATATAACTCAGCGTTTTCTTTTTAAAGATTAACATTTTTCCACGTCGCTCTTTGCGGTTAATCTCGTCTCAGAGGCATACAGGATAAATGCATAGTATACATATGTATTATGCATATAATATAAATAAAATTTATATTATTGTGTTTGCACACGATAACATTCCGGACCTAAGTATTTTATTCGTTGTGAAGAGTATTCTATTGACCGAGTTTATTCTCACGTGCATATATCGTGTATAATTATACGGAGTTATGCAGACAATAAAAATCCGGCAGTTTTCCGAAAAACAAAATTTGAATATTACCGTACTATGCGTA